AATAACCCGCATCCTTTCGGTTACTTCTTTTTTCTTCTCTATCCCCCACCTCGCCGGTCCGGGGGGCGCCCCGACCCCGCTTTGCTGCCCCCCCCCCCCCCCCCCCCCCCCCATAACTCAATTCTCTTGAAGGGCGATCCTACCAGCGAGCCTTTCTACTTCACACATTCGCACATCGCTAACTCCTTCCCGACCTCGCCAAATCGCAACCCTGGCTCTTCAACCTAAGGCCTTCGGCGAAGGCCCTGAAGCTGTGGCCAAAATGGCCCAGCCAACAGGCGAGCCCGTCGAGGAGTACGAGTATGTTTCCCCTTCCTCAGGCCTATCACTCAATAATAGACGCCAGCATGATGGTTATACGGGATACTGACTTAGACTGCCTCACTAGCTATGAGTCTCTGCCCCCTAATTTCTCCTTAGCCCAAAATATGATCGCTGGCGCCTTCGCCGGTATTGCCGTAAGCCCGATTACTTTTGCCTTTCGGGGTCAACCCGTGATTGCTAACAGGATGCTAGGAACACACAGTTATGTACCCAATTGACGCGATCAAGGTTCGTCACGCTTAAACCTATCCGACTATCCGACTTAATACTAACTAGGGATATTACAGACGCGAATGCAGATACTTAACCCGGTGGGGGCGAACGCAGTCTACAAAGGCATGATACAGAGTACCATGCGCATAGCAAGTGGAGAGGGTGTATTGAAGTTATGGCGGGGGATGTCAAGTGTTGTCGTCGGAGCTGGTAGGTTCTCCTGAGAGACTGATATAGCTCATTTCTCACCACTTGGACTATTAGGGCCTGCGCACGCAGTCTACTTTGCGACATATGAGGCCGTTAAGCATCTTATGGGTGGCAACCGAGCTGGTGTACACCACCCACTAGCAGCAGGTATGCTACTAACCTCCCCAGCTTGATCCTCTTCCTCAGCAATACATGTCTAACATTTACCCTTTTTCTAGCAACAAGTGGGGCTTGCGCAACCATAGCCAGTGATGCGCTTATGAACCCCTTTGACGGTATGGTAGAGCCTTGAAGACACTAATTGGTCGTATCTATCTAACTCTGACCATAGTGATCAAGCAACGCATGCAGATACAAAATTCGAGCAAGATGTACCGCTCTATGATGGACTGCGCTCGATACGTCTACAGAACCGAAGGTTTATCGGCCTTCTACGTCTCATATCCAACCACTTTATCTATGACTGTACCCTTTACAGCCCTCCAATTCCTCGCATACGAATCTATATCTACGACAATGAATCCCAGCAAGACGTACGATCCGTTTACGCATTGCATGGCAGGCGCCGTTGCGGGGGGTTTCGCAGCAGCTCTAACTACACCAATGGACGTTATCAAAACTATGCTACAAACCCGAGGTACAGCTTCCGACCCGGAGCTTAGGTCGGTGAATGGATTCACGGCAGGCTGCAGGCTAATGTACCAACGGGAGGGCCTACGCGGGTTCTTTAAAGGAGTTCGGCCGAGAGTGGTCACCACAATGCCGAGCACAGCCATCTGCTGGTCAGCTTACGAAGCTTCCAAGTAAGTGTACCTTTGTCTAATACTCTAAGTCGTCTATACTTATAATTATGTCAAAGGGCATACTTCATTCGTGCCAACACGTCATCGTCCGTGATGGGTTGAATCAGGCAACAATCCAGTGTTGTTTTCTTGAGGTATCCATGAAGACTCCACAAATCGGCTCCCTTTGTTGCCGATCCTCCCGCCATCAGGATATCTCCGAGGTACAAGACCGAGCCCGAGGCTGCGAAGTCTGTTATCCTAAATTTGTCTGACTTGGGCTGCTTGGGCTGACGTGCCCTGTCGCACAAGAAAAGCATTAGCCTCATTCTATAGGCTCACCGAACCCCCCGCAGGCGTCATGTGAAATGCAATGAAGATGATTAGTTTCCTGGATTACCTGTATCCATTGGAGTTTTGCGTGGGGTTGTTTCCCGTGGACTTCCGAGAGTTTCCACCCTTTCCGGGCGACGACGCAAAAAGATATTTCACGAGCAATCGGGAATAAAATTTCTAAAAACGGGTGGAGAGAGGGGGCGGGCGGTTAAAGGGGGGGGGTTATGTGTCTGGGTAGACACTAAAATCGAAATGTACATATCAACTTGCTTTTTCGTACCAATGTCCTCGGATATCTGCCTCATAGGCCCAGCCCATAGGTTGGAGAGAGGATCGAAATGAATGATACTGGCAGGAGTTTTGCGAGAGGACCGGTGTTCTACTCAAGTTCCCTGATTTTTTCCCACAATCTTTTTATTCGCTTATGATCCTCGAGTAACGATTCAACAACCGATGCTCGGTGCCAGATGGATGGATAGAAATCACATCATACATACACACATACTACGAGGCTTACCTATAACTATAGGGAAAAGGAGATCTGATTGATCTGGTAGTGGCAGTGGTAGGATTTACTGCAGATTTGGGCTCAACTCGCCGTGTACAGATATATTGGTTATTTAAGACTGTGCACTAGTGCCGTACGACATAGACGGACGAAGATGGGATGGGACTGGACAAACGCTGATTTCACGCGGTACATGCGGTTATAGTTATGATTTGCAGGTATGTCGCCGTCAATGCTGACGTCTGAATCGAGCAGTTCACCTCTGAATCTGATTTTTACTGCTTAACTTAAGGCAGAGTAGATGAATAAGTGGCTGTTTATCCGTAGATATGGATATCGTTATGTGTTATCCTATGCTGCTTATCGGAGATGTCAATGTGAGGCCGAGGACTTTCATACACATGCTCTCCCTTAGATCCAGTGTCCCCTGAGATCTTAACCTAGATGCTTGGAAGATAGGAAGATTATATGTTATAGTCTTGACATATATATTTATTTATACATTAACGCTGATATGATATAATATGATGTGATAGATTGGGGGGTATATAAGCCTACTTTCTTGCACTGAGCAACTTAGAGCTCAATATTTAGGCCGAAGAGATGTATACCTACGTAACCTAAAGTATGTAAATTATTTATTTGCACGCAAGCCTATACTGTATAATCAAATGTAGATGAAGCAAACTAACACCAATGGTAGCGCATACCTAACTCTAGTAGTCAAGTTACTAAATGAATAAAAGAGGCAATGTGCATTTGTAAATCTACTAGGTTAGTCCGGAGTCCATAAACTCCAGCTCCGCCGTGATGTGCCGGCCGAGAGATATCGTATTGCCTTATACGTAATATAGTCTCGGCCTAGATATCTACACACATATATAATTATATATTCACATGTAAGGGGAAATGTAATGCAAGCCAAGTGCGTAAATACCTAGTTACTACTTGATTATTAAATATAGTACTCGAGAGAACCTAAACAGATTGACGAGATCGCCATCTCGATAACCTACCTCCAACCTACGTAAGTATCTAAGTGGACGGACAACCAGATTCACCCACCCGCCAATAAAGCAATTCCAATTACAAAATATACAACAACACGCATGTCTTACATCTTACACCTACCAACCTTGCAATATGTAAATCTCAGAATTACTCAAAAAGCATAACCATATCAACAGCCACAAGGTTGAAAACCCGCGTCTCTTATACTACTTAGTTACTGATAAAGTACGCACGTACCTAATGTATATATACACAACCAAGCAAGAAACATGGCTTCGACCGCTCCCTTGACTAAACGAATATTTACTTTACTTGACCTCCTTGCCCCTGCCCCTGCTCCAAGCCTTCTCGAACTCGAACTTAAACCCAAAACAACTCCACAAACTCCAACCCGCCTGTGCCAGTGCATGCAAGAATTCTTCATCTTCATCTTCGTCTTATCTATTCTCGTTGTTAAAAACCCCTTACTCTTTCTTAACCGAACGGGAAACCACCCGGGAAACCACCACCTCCCGAACCAAACTTGAAGTGGAACTGCTGGCCGCCGCCTTGTTGGTACATGAACGGTTGGCCCTGCTGGAACGGATTGCCCTGCTGTTCGTGAGAATTCGGGTCGTCACCGCGATCGAATCTTTCACGGAGCTCGGGGTTGCTCAGCACCTCGTACGCCTCGTTGATCGATGCCATTTTCTTCTCCGCCTCCTCCTTGCTTAAACCCTGCTTGGCCGCCTTGTCGGGATGGTGAATCTTGGTGAGTTTTCGGTAGGCCGACTTGATCTGTCGTTCGTCCGCGTCGTGCGACACGCCGAGGACCTTGTAGTAATCCTTTGTCTTGCTGCGCTTGAGAGCGACCTGGGCTTTCTGCATTAGGGGGTTGATGATGTTATTCTTGTCCGGTCTGGCTTCTGCTGCTTTCTTCAGAGTTGCGATGCAGGGCTCGAAATCTTCGGCGTCTAGCTGCGTCTTGGCTTTGTATAAGAGACCGTATAGAGAATTCTCATCTAGTGCTAGAGACTTTGGACAATATATGCTGGCCTTCTTGCTATTTGCCTGTAGAGTAGTTAGCGACTTGTTGTTTTCTCAAATTTGAAAAGATAATGGTAGTACCTCGTAGTAAGCCTGGCAAGCAGTCTCGACTAATCTAGCCAGCAACACATTGGGTGCGAGTTCCGGGATGATACCAGCCTTCTTGTGCTCCTTAATCTGCTCTTCCACCTCGTTGATCAGACCCGGTTCATCACCAGACGGTACTAACAACTTGACGGCGGTCATAGGCTGATTCCTCTCCAAAGCCTTGTTAACTTTTGCTAACGTCTTATCGATGTTCTTTTCTTGCTTTAATAACTTCTTGCAGGGCTTAGACTCGGGATCGGAGTGCAGACACTTCTTGACCTGCGCTATACCCTGTTCTATATCTCCTAAAGCGTAAAATGTAGTAGCTGAGATCTGTAGATAAGGAGTAGTGTCGCCCGCTTTCATCTGCAGGATATGTTGTAAGTCGCCCATCGCGCCTTCAACCTCTCCTTTCTCGAACCGACACTTGATGCGTAGTTCTCGCAGGTTGGGGGCCCGGTTTGCGACGAGGATGGCATCGCTGGCCTGACTTATACATTCATCCCAGTTTCCCTTTTGCGCGGCTGCTTCTGCCAACTTAGCGGCGCCCTGTGCTTCGACCAGTTTCTCGAATTCGGAGGATCCTTGCTTCTGCTTGGCTAAGAGGTAGTGTTCCACAGCTCCATCCCAATCAGCACCTCTGGCCTTTAACTTGCCCAGTTGCAGATGCGCTCCTTCGAAGTCCGGCTTCAGCTGTAAGACCTTGTTGAAGTCCGAAGTAGCCTGCGACGTGCGACCAAGCGAAAGGTAGGTGGTAGCCCGTTTGAAGTACGTTAGGTAGTCGTTTGGATCGCGGGCAACAGCGGCATCGTAGAACGTTAGAGCCTCGTTTGTTTCGCCCTTAGTTAAGTGTGATTGCGCCGAAGAGAGGAGGGTCGAGATAGGAGTGTCGGCGGGGATATCCGAAGCAGAGAGGGCTTGAACGAAACCGGTAGAAGTGAGCGCAGTGGCTGCGAGAGCCAGCGCTGATAGAGGGACAATCATGATGACGCGATAATTAGACGATTACAATAGACTTGATTGCCTGTTGGCGCGGACGCCGTCAGGTTTTTGTTTGCAGGAGCAGAAGAATTAGATATGTAGTATTACAGGAAAGACGACGAAGAAGTAGGAAGTAGAAACACAGAGAAATATAGAAACGTGGAAGTTAATGAAGGTATAAACGACTTAAAAGGTCCAGATACATACAAAAGATTAACAAGTGGCTACTACGCGTATCTAGCACTATCTGCTAGTCAAGTACTTGAAAAACTATTCAGTCTAGGCTGTTACTAGTAAGTACTCGCTAAACAAATTTATCCCTGCATGGACAACCTGGCCACTTCTAACTGCCTTTTAGAGGCGACATGAACAAACCCGGCGCGAATCTTCCAATATGTATTGTCCATGTGGACTACGTACCGATCATGCGCCACAATTAGCTGTTTCCTAAAGAGGCAAGAGGGGCTACAGGACCCGACGGGGACTGCAGCCGGCCAACTTTACCCCACCAATCCCCAATGCATCCCTGCCCGTCGCGTGTATTCGACGTGTAACTTGTCGACGTCTCCAAATTTGAAGCTTCATTAATGTTATCAATAAAAAGTCAATTCTCCAATTCCACACATCTCTCAATCTAATTATATAAATAATTATATAAATGTAACCAAACAAACTTCCACATCCTCACAATGTCGCACCTCCCCCCCTCCCAAGCAATATTCTCCCCCTCCGTCGCCCGCGCCGCCGCCTCCACCGCAAAAGACTGGTCCTACATCGACACCTGGCTGCGCAGCATCTTCGCCAACTCCTCCAACTCCTCTTCCAACCGCGCCTCCCGCCCTCCCCCCTTCGAGCGCAACCCCGAAACCCTGAAGGCCCTGCTCGCCTTAGCCACGGCCAACGAAGCCGCCGACGAGCACCGCGAGCAGCTCGCGCGCGTCGAGGAGGCCGCGCTGGAAGAAGTGCGCTCCGTTGAAAGAGAGCGCGAGGAGCGGCGGAGGAGGATTGATGCTCGAAAACAGAAACAACAGGAAGGGCGGGAAGAAGCAGAAGAGGCGGAAGAAGCTCTCGACGGTGACATCCTAGCCACAGACCTGCTCTCCGCGCTCGAATCCTCCCTAAGCAAAGACGGCGCCGCAGCCCTCGACGCCATGGCCTCTATGGCCGTCGAGCTAGGCGTCGCGTATCCCACCCCCGAAATCCTCGGGTCCAAGTTCGCCGAGCTGCAAGGACGAGCATTCGAGCTAGAAGACGGAATCGAGAGGGTAGATTTACTACGGCGGTACTTAGACCGGGAATCTGCTCGCGCCGAGACCTTTCTCGCAGAGCTACAGCAGTCCAATACCGACTCCAGCCTCAATACCCACAACGATAACGACAGCACCGTCGGCGGTAGCGGTAGTGGTAGCAGCGCCAGCATATTCACACTCCCCCCCACTCTCCCAAAGCAAAACCTCTCCCTGCAACGCCTAGTCAAGAGCACATCCAGCCACCTCCCCGACCTAACCCACCAAGTCCACTCTTTAGAAAAAACCATCGGTCTCCCAAGTCTAACCGTCGACGACGTGCGCGCCGACGAGGAAGCATACCTAGACCTGCTATCCCGCAAAAAGGATCTCGACGCGCAGGTCCGCGCCTTCGCCGGCCTACCCCCTGATATCGACGCCGCACGCGCTGAACTAGAAGCTTTACGTTCCGAGCTCCGGCACGCGACGGAGCGGCGCGATGAGGACTTTGAGAGGTTGGTTGAACGGGAGAGTCCGGTGAAGAGTAGGAGGAGGCCTAGACTAGACTAAATTAGATTATACTATCCTCAAGTAGGCCTCAAAACAGCTGCAGAAATACTCATCTCAGTATATAATGCAATCCAATATGTGCATAAAAACGCCATTAATCATTACTTATCTATTTGAACTCTCAGGTATCCTCGCTGTACACAATCATATGCTGACAGTACTCGGTACAAGACATAATAATCTATCTGGAACGAATCGCTTCTTCAAAAATCACCTCCCTTGTAGTAAGTAGGTCACCCTCTCTACGACGACGTAGATGAATGACTGCAAAACCCGACGGCATAACCAACTTCACTTCTATTGGGGCTGCGATCGTTTCCCTCTGCCTGAGACGGACGCGCCCAGTCGTCCAAACTGTTTCCCTAATCCCGAACGCTTTGGCGGCGGCGCAGCGGGCGGCGTCGAGTCTTTCGGTGGTACGGACGGGGCCGGGAGAGGCCGTGGGGGCTCTCGTTCTGTGATACGTAGTCCGCCGAAGTCTAACCCGTCGTCGAGGTTACTGCCGTCCTGCATCCTCTGTGCCCGTCTCGCCTTTTCCTGTACGCTCCTGAACTTTTCCAAGAGCTGGTCCCATCGTATCGTATTGTCTTCGCGGCCCTTCCCCAACCTGTTTGGGCGGTCATAATTTGAAGCGCTAGGTGTAGTTGCAGGACTAAGAACGCATGAAGAATAAGTGTCATGGACGCTTTTGGAACGAGGGTGGTGGCTTTGGTAAGAGGAGATGGCTTCGGCCACTGAACCTTGCCAGGGGATTGTCAAAGGGGCAGTGAGATAGGGTACATACGGTCGAGGCCCGGTCTGCAAGTATCCTATCGCGCTTACGCTGTTCAACCTATTCTTGAGAGCCGCAAAAGCAGAGGACTGCGGCAAAAGCATCAAAATTCCATAAAGACATTTATAGAGGTATGGATACTTCTCGGGTTCGAGAAGCTGGAGTCGCAAATCTAGTAGTCCAACATTGACTCGTTAACGTATATAGCCAAAAGCAGGATGAATATTAGGTAACTCACATGTGAAGACGGGAGACTCAATCAGTTGGACAAGCTTGTCGATCTGGATGAGAATGTGGACTGTCATCTCTAGCTCCGCACTTGTATCTGTTAGTGGATTGTCCAGTAATTATGTTTCCCCTATTCTACAACACTCACAAAATCTGCAAGAGATTGTACGCAGCTTCGTATGCCTGAGCGAGTAGACACAAGGAGAAGGTTGCAACGGCGTTGTAACACCAAGAACGGAACAAGGCGACGAAGAACACCTGGCCCTCCTATAGAAATAGTCAGTATGGCCTAAGCCAAATTACTGGGTGGTTAAACAACGTTACCTTCGTCTCTAGGTTCCGTAATCGTTTCCTCAAGTCGGCTAGTTCCGGCGCCGTAATTAGGTTATTGTTGAGATTCTGCACCATTATGCTGGCAAACTCAACATCCTCTTCTTTCTCAATCGTTTCGGCTAGAGTACGGTATATCCTCTCGGGGCTCAGAGTCATACATAATTGGCGTATGATCAGGTTTCCTCGAGTCTCTAGTAGCTTTCTATCAGTAGAGAAAAGTTGCAGAAGACTGACCATAAAATTAGAAAAGTAGTCGTCTTCGCTGTTTCTAGATATTTGAGATAGTAACTGTAAGTCCTTGGTAACGACAGCTTCTGCCGGGTCTGAAAGCGTCTTGAGGAGGGCAGGGAATGTTCCGTCGTTGAACGCAACGATTTTCCTAGGTGCTTTTCGGTGCAACATGATGAGCCAAGTTAGTGCAGCAACGCGGGTTTCCTCGTGGTCATTTAAGAATAGCAAGGTGAGAGAATTAACTGCGGCAGCATAATCCAAGTCTGGCTGAGGCTGAGATGGTTGAGCGGGGGTTGATGCTCTGCGGTTTTGAGCCGGTGTGGGACTGCGTAGATCTATTTCGCGATTGCTCGACAAGGAGGCGCGTGTACTGGACGCTCCTTCGGGGCGGTCAGTAGCAGGTGCAGACAGTCGTGACGTTGACGGGCCCGGGGCCACTTCGGTTTCGTCTGTAAGAGAGACAACATATTCCATCAGTGATGTGTTCACTCTTGTCGCAGCCTGGCGAATCGGCTCGACCCCGCTAGCCATCGCTGGGAGAAGGTGGGCTAATATTTTAGGAGTAAATGGTAAGACTTCTTCAGGGCAGATATCTAGAAACGATACTATCCATCGTAGGCTTTCTAGAAGGCTGTCTTCCTCTATCGCGATATTAGTATTCATAATCATATTATCGAGCCAAGAGCATTTACCCAGGGGGGAATCAAGGGTCGCAGTGAGGATCTCAAGGATGGCCTTATAGTTAATCTGCACATCTTGTCCCGGAATCCAGTCATCCTCACTGCTAACTTCATCATCATCCTCGTTGGCCGTAGTAGAGCCTGCTTCCTCGGCGTCATCTGCTGCCAGACGCATACTACCGCTATCGACAGAGTCCTCCCGCTTCCTCTTTCCATCTCCCTTCGACTTTCTGCTCTCGGCGATACCCTTCTTCACTCGGGCAATTCTCTTGATCTCGTTCAAGAACTTATCCAGACAGGCCTGCGTTGCCGCATGGACGTCGGCATTGTTGCCACTGAGAAACTTGAGCAAACCACCCAGAAACTCGGGCAGGTACGTAACCAGTTCGAGATCCGGAATCGAGTCGAGTAGAGTAATCCAACCGACAAGGAACGTTCTAGTAAACGGGTTCATAACCCATATCCGTTCCTTTAGGAGAGGGATAAAATCTGGGAGGGAGAAAGCTGTTGGGAGGTTCGAATTAGGGGAAGCGCCTTGCTCAGAGTCCTTCGCATCATAAGGCGGGGGAGGTTCACTCTCGAGCACGGACACGTAAGTAGCCGCTGACTCGGAGACAATATCCTTGATTAGACGATCGAGAAGTTCGGCGCCGTTTTTCACAGAAAGTTCTGAGTCTGCGCCTAGCTGTGGTAGAAAGAATAGATGTCAGATCAAATGAAAAGAGTTCTCGGATAGAAGCATCGAATTACCTTGCATAAAGCATCAAAAATGTGGTTAAAATATTTCAAAATCTCGCCTTTGGCAACCTTGGCAATGTTATACATAGACTCGCATGCATAATATCGAACGCGAGCATCTTGGTCGGTAAAACAAGCCAGAACAGGCGGCACGATAACCTCGAGATATCTCGGCAGCTCCTTAACACGATGTCAGATTAAACAGTATCAAGAGAGACAAGAAAAGGCGTTCCGGAAACAATAGGACGAGAGAAAAAGAAACATACTGAACCGAGGGCGATGGCAGCAGCGGCCAAACCGATCAAACCTCCATTTCGTGCATGGGGTTGATGGACAGCATAAGCGTATTCGTTACACAACTGCTCAAGGATATCCTTAACCCTTTTGTAGTCCTTGGCCGCTGTCAGCTCCCGAATAGAGCGTTCGAGTCTGTACTTAAGTTAGTAAACTCAATTCGATACTATCTACAAGTTTAGGGGGGTATGCAGCATACTCAAGGGCACCGGTCTTCCTCTTGTCGTACAGCTTATCGTTAAGAAGGCGCTGGACGTTGGGTTCCATTGCTGCGTCTTCGTCTCAGCAAGCAGGTCACGTTACCATGCTGTGCCGGGATGTGGATAATGTGGTTGGGTGGTTCATCAATGACGCTGGGTGGAATATCTGATTGATTATTCAAATTCAAGTGGTTGGATAAATGGACAATGGACAGCTGACAATGGACTTGATAAGAAAAGAAGGACAGAAAGGCAACAAGTCGGATTACAATAGTGTCTGAATATTCTATCAAAGTATTAGGACTTGCTGTAGTCGGTATTGAGATAACCTAACAGTTTAAGAGTTAGAGGGATTGGGATTGGGAGGAGACGACAAGGCTGAGTGATGAAGCATCAATGATGTATGTGTACCAAGTAAAATGTATGGGCGAGTTCTCATGTCTGGGTACATCTTGCTGCACTTTCATGCAAGGATTAAGGTTTAGCGGGGGGGCAGCACTAACCAGCTGACCGTTAAAGGCTGACGAGGCTGAACCTTATCTGTAAGAAGGTACTAGATTCTAACAAGAGCACAAGTAGAACCTTAGAGAAGCTGCTTGGAAGTACTTGCTTATCGGCGAGATGTGGCGTCTGCGCCAAGGTCCCTAAGCCAGTGCGCTGGGACAAACTCAAAGCTACGGACGTTGCAACCGTTGACTTAAGACACCAATTGCAACAGCTAAGGCGCTGTCAAGATTAGCCTATGACAACGGCCAGATTCAGTCGCATGGCGCGCTTGGATTGAAATCTAACCAAAATCAACCCGTTTGATTCAGAAGCATGCACTTCCAATCATTAACTTTATTCGAAGCCACGAGAAAGCAAGCCAATAAAACATCTAACCGATTCCATTACAACCTAATGTTATAAACAATATACGATAATACTCCGTGATATTTATTACAGCTGTAAAAGCCATGACTACCTACTTACTACTTAACTTTTCTATATATCTCCCGATGATTTATATATGAGGTACTCAAGGTATATGACTCCGGTCTTCACCGAGTTACAAGTTATATTCTCCAAAGCTTCCGACCACATTACGGCCGAAGCATATGTATAAGCAGTGATGTTATCACGAGTCCTTAAGAAGGTCAGAGCACTCAAAACGCATTGTCGGCGATGAATTAAGGAGGTGAGGGGGGAATACCAGCATGCCGAAGTAGCCCGGCCGTGTAAAAAAGTGCCTAAATCAACCTCTCGCGTTGGGAGTCAATAAGTCGTTCGACTTTTCTACGTCTACCTATGGTCCTATGTTGGCTTCTGTTGGCTTCACAGGGTGTATCTTCCATCGGCCATTCGCCAGGGGTCAGTGAGCCGACAGCAAAACATGGGCTCCTGTTTGCGTGCATAACATACCGAGGGTCCCGACGGTATAGGTAGCGAGCCATCTTACGGTCCTAGCCAATGCAAGAGTTTCTTCTTTAGCCGCCGCAGCCACAGCCACAACAACCCCGTCGGCTACTCGCGGATACGAGTCTTTTATTTGCGTGCTTCGACCAGTTTCTCGCTCCCTCAGGGTGCCGGGCGGATCAAGCGATATGTGAATCGGCAATGGCAATTTTTCCTAATGTCACTGCTGCTAGGATGGAGAAGATCAGCCCTAGATATATTAAATATATGCCTGCTATAATCTAAGATCATAGCAGATCCTCTGCCGAGTAAGACAATGCACATGTACAATGACGTGGAAAGATGCTACGCATTTAGTCCCGTCCTTGTACTAGCCGACCAGATCTTCAGATGAGCCCAATTTATCTGGAGATCGGCTGCTGGGATAGTTAGCTGTTCGTTACTTCAATGCTTAGATAATTTATATGCACGTATTTTAGACGAACATTATATGTAATGGATGCTACAGCTTTGTGAGACGTTTGCTAAAAGATGATATGGGATCAATTTTATAACGCTCTATCAGTCAAATAAGCGGTGTGAATTTAGTTGTGTGTTAGACTTAGGTCTCAACTTTATTGGTGAATCCGTATGAACATGCGTTATTTGGTATTGTTACTCTCGGAGTATCATCACTATTATGTTTTTATCAACTCTCATATTTTTTCTTTTGGTCCTCCTATTTTCGTCAGTTCTATTATACACCTTTTACTATAGCCCCTCATAATACTACCTATAATATCACATATTATATTATTAACATCATAAATGCGTTTTCACGGTAGCACAAGAGAAGCAATCCCGCCTATACATCCCCTTTTCAGGTAGGTAAGCCGCATCAATTTGGAGATACCCAGACCCGATCAGCTGGTATAGATAGGCATGTCACATTGGATACAAGTTTAATCTGCTGCCTGGGCTGCTTCTAAAACGACCTTGTTGGGGTACTTCGTACCTAAACACTACCCTAAAACTGGAATTAGGCATATGCTGATCTTGGTAACGACAGTATGCTCCCCCTTTTCGACCGGAGAATTCTCGAAGCAGCCAATCGTGAAAGATGAGGTAGCCTGTACAAAAACCATCCTACCATACTCGACTAAGCATACCATAGCTGACCAAGCCTACCTACGGCGTCAAAGAAAAAAAGGAAAGGAAAAAAAAGCCAGGCTTAGCTTATCCCGATATATCCCGCTTCCCGTCCACGATCATGTGCACCACGATGGTGACCTTGATGCCACCTCCTACTTACAACTCTTTTTCCGCAGCTCTACCAGTCCAACGCGGTTCAGATCCTCATCTTCAGCTAGGTAGCTAAGATAGCACTTGATGATCTATCACAAGGGGCCCGTCTAGATCTTCAGTTCCTAGCCTCTATCCAGCAGAGCTCGCGCCACTATCAGCCGTATAGATCTGCTGATTGGACCGGGGGAAGCCCCGAATCCTTTTACTTTTCTTGGCCACCGTCCTTTTTCTTCTGGTTCGAGTCGCTCTTCCGCCAGGATCCGTCCGAGCTGTCGCCCCTCTGATCCTTGTTATTTTTAGCGGCCATACCTGCACGCTTTGCGAAAGGGTCCTGCTCCGTGGTGAGTATCTTGACCATTGTTCGGAGGCGGTACCTAGGTGTAATACGGTCTTCCCGCGGGACTTAGCGATCCGCGCGGCTGATTTCTCATCCATCTTAGTCGGTCCCATTTTGTGATGATCAACGTCCCGATGACTTGAGAACTGTATGTGGAAGAACGACCAACCCACGGTTGGGTATAAGTGTGGCTGAGGAGGACTAAACGGTAAGCAAAAAGAAGAAGCGTGTCAGAGGTTGAAGCAGCGAGGCGAGGTTAGTATATATAGTCTAAACTATGCCGTCAGGAAAAGACCGGTTTATCAACCTTCCCGAATCCGAACCAACCGTCAGGGTCACAAGGTACTTGCTTTTTGCACTTTTCACTGAAGATATCGTGACCGTGCACATAAGGCAAGCCTTGTCTCTTTCGCTTCTAGCGCGTCACTGGCCGCGGAATCTTGAGCGCCATGCAAGGAAGGGAAGCTGCAGGAAGCACGGTATATGTAAGACTGTAGCAAACAATAGAGTAACTGACATGATGTAGGGTTATATGCGAGGCACATTTCTGCCAATCTTGTACTCGGCCCCAGATCACTAATGTATCAGAGCAGAGTATAGGATCCAGGGATCTATATTGGTTGGCGAAGGACCGCACGATGTCCTCTCCCTCTCAGCCGTGTAGCAGCCGCGGATCCAAACATACGTACCTGGGTATATTCTGCTAAGCCGGGGCCAGATTCCTGCGAGAAACCGACGGGAACAGCCGTGTATCGACTTATGATGCACAATGCCGTTTGGCAGGCCAAGTCTTCCGACCTCGCAGGATTCACGCGGCTGTCAAGGAGAGCATTTCTTTAGCCGCCGAAAGACAAAATCCAATAAGGCTAATACAAGAACGAGAACCGTGACAGACGTAAGTAACAGAAGAGGTAATCGAAGCAAACCACCACTAATAACATCTCCGCGGCCTCAGCTGTCTATACTTGGTTATACGTAACCTGGATTGAGACGCAAGGGGCCAGTGAGCGTTGCACAAGAGCATTAAATCAATCTATATGATAATTGCCAAAATCAGCTCACAATAAGGCAACCTCTCAGGCACGCATATGTCCCTCTCGTCCGGTAGGGCAGCAACGTAGTCGACTGTCTTCTCTATGACCGTGGGAACCTGATTTGGATGAAAACCCCTACGATAGCGCAGCCCACGGCTCAATTCTAACAAGATAGTTGACAAGTCGGAGACAAAATTACTAGACCTAGGTTTGATTTACCTGGCTAGACATCGTATTGGTTCGCTACGGGATGCTTTCGTCTTGGAACCTGAAAGTTATCAATTTTCCATTCATCCAGAATGGTTAGATGGTCCGACTGCAATATCGCTAAGTTTAAGAACACCATCTCTCGTAAGAATCCCAACGACGTTGCATTAGGTTTTGAGAGGGTCGTAAGGCATAACGTCTGAGAAACTTCTCCAACATCATACCGAGTCAACCCCATTCCATTTTCCGTTGGTTGGCCTCCGCCACGGGAAGACACCGCTACCTATTTACAGGGCTTATCAAAAGCTACGACAATATGGGTAACACCATGCTAAAATATTAATGATGGTGTCCATGAATTGCATCCTCGCCCTCGGAGATGACCTTCTGACACTTGGCAAGGATGGCTGCTTGCCTCGATACTTCGGCTAGCGTGCCAACAACCTGCCTATTCCCATCCACGAAGCCGTATAATGCGTACGGGATACCAACATCGTTACAGAAATCCTGTACTAGCTTTTGCGTGCGGCGGAGATTATGACGCGGAATCCTGGGGAACAAATGGTGGATGACTTGGAACTGCAGGCCGCCGTGGAAAAAGTCCAACCATTGGGGGCATTCGATGTCCATGGTCGTGCGGAGCATCTTCTGGGGAAATGATTCGTGGGGCCCCATATCAGAGGTGCTCATCGCAAAGTGGGAAAGGCAGATCTGCGCGTGGACTGGCATGGGCACCATATGGCTGATCAAGAAGAAGACAAGTCGATCCGAGTTATTAGGAATCGATTTGTACAATACTCCATAGAAGTACCAGGTGATGAAACAGAGCTGTCCAGTTATCTCGAACCACCCGTGCCACCAAGCAGGTCCTTTCGTAGGGCCTCTGCGAGCAAGCAAAAAGTCCCAGGATAGGCGGTAGAGGTTCAAGCGCCCAAAGAGGAGAAGTATGTAGTAAGTGTAAGGTTGAATTCTGAGCATGAATTTTGCTACAGCATCGTATTCCATTACGCGGTCGTAAAAAGTGGAACGCATCGATGTGAAGAACCGGTGAGACACAGCCATGAACGGCATATGTTCGATATCCGGGTCATGCTCCGGTGCATTTGTAACGATGTGATGCACGTTATGGTTCCGCTTCCACCATCCTATTGAGAGACCACCGAAGAAGTCAGCAACGATGATGCCGATAACCGTGTCCGTGTGGAAGCCATGGGTAATACCCATGTGACCAGCATCGTGAGCCGTGAAAACGAGCTGATGCCAGAATGCGCCTAAACACACCGCACTCGCAACGTACCAACCCCAGTTCAAGAAGAGGAAGGTGAGGCTGAAAAGGATTGAGTATCGTGTGACCTCGATTGCATACGCCCAATAATTGCATTTATAAAGATCTTCGGCCTTGATTCGCTCGCCAAGATCGCGATACTTGGCCACGATGGCATCCTGGGTATCAAAATCCAGGGAGGGATACTTTTCCAAGTCTAGAGTCGTCTTTTCCCTGGTAACGGTGTCGAGGTATGACATGCCATCATCATCAGGTTCCACCGAAGATACGGAAGATGTAGATGAAGATTTCGGTACTGATCCATCAACGCCACGTCGCTTTCGAATCACGGCTTCTGCGCTGTCATCGAAAACCGGGGAAGGCTCCCGGGAACTTGGGCTGCTCGACACGCCCGTAGAAATGACGTCGCCTTCCTCAACCTCGTCCTCAACCTCGTCGCCGTCCAGCAATGGTCTGAATTTACCGCCTTGGACAGGGGGGATGAAGTTGGTCCACCTTCCTTCAATTCTACCAATTCGATAACGGTTCATCCGCTCTCTTGTTTCGGGGGAATGGAGACTATAGTAACAAGACATGTTAGAGACAGATGATCCTAATGCAATGCTCGTATAGGGTTATACAGGTGAGGGCAGCACTAACGCAGTGACTTCGTCGGTAGCATCTCGACCAACCATGTGTAGGATCGCCTTGTCACCGCCTGGGTGATACGGTAGCCATGGATCGGCCTTGAATACGTATTGGTTGGCAATGAAGATGCGTCGTCCGTCTGCGATTAAACCTTCGATCTGCCTTCTCGACAGTACTGGGTATGCTTTTTCGGCCATTGTCGTCCACCAGCCTCTTTAGGCTCTTAGGTACGTATAGGAAAGGGACACAAATGGTCTAGCTCGATGTTCCCGGTGACAATTTTACGCAACCATTTCAATCTATCGCGAAAGGGAGGGTATATGGAACTATGAGGGGTTGTACAAGAGATTAGGCACGTTTTATCAAAAAAGAATTAAAACCAATTGACATTAAAATGTTAAAGATTAAGGTACGCCCCTTGTCAAGGGAACCTTGGGAGTCTAAGCAGTCTCGGACGAAGAGCTTTGGGAGTTTGGGAGCTAAGGAAGAGCGGTGGGAACCGAAAAATGGGGGTTAAAACTCACCGTAACTATCTGCACATTTCGTTTGGGTGAATCCCCTGAAGGCCTGGCCAATGAAATAGGCCAATTGAGCCACGACGCTTTCCCCACTACCTCCACCTCCCCAACTACATGTACATAGGTACCTACAAACTTACATTACATAGTACAAACCCAACCCTAGCAAGACCTTCCATTGAAGCTAAAATCTACACAGCCACAACAACTATCAACATTTAAGAATTATCTTCCAGTTAACTAACTATCACTTGTTAACCTATGTAGTATCATAGTATCATACATCACGTAAGGTATACAATTATGAGGGCAATCGAAAAGGTATTAGTTGAAGATTCAAACAGCTGCTTAAGGCTCTAAGGAATCCTTATCATCAATGCACATACGCACATACGCACAAACCCAGCTGATCCAACACTTACAAAAGCTAGGTTCCGAGCTCTCAACTACATATCTAGCTCATATGTAACTGCATGGGACGACTTGCAAATCACATCCTTGCAGTCGAATGACGCACAAGCACGCTAGATTCCGAAGCAATAAAAAATATCTTTCCATAACTCAAGCTCCTCGAATCACAGGATTTATCTGAAAAATCGATCAGTCACTTATAAGTATCCTTATTAAGCTGCAGTAGGTATTATATCATCGTTGAATACAACGTTGAGAGTAACTAATAGTCTAATATCAAGGTTGTATCATTCTAAATAGCTTAACCGGTGTTACGTCAATTGGAAGACGATATGTATAGCACCCTGTACCCAAAATACTCAACAGGCCATGATCATCCGAGCCAATTTAAAATACAACTTCCCATTTTGATTAACTAGTTAAGTCTTAGTTCACCTATCATTCAAACGAGCCATCTATTGGCAACGGTAGACACGTTTTACCTTGGCAACAGGATTTCCTCAATAATTGTAAAATAGAAACCACATTACAAGGCAAATCATCTATACGTTTACCCCATGTTCAAAAAAAAGGGGGAAACCTCTAGGGGTAGGATACCTACAAATTGCTTCGTAGTCCATGTTAGTCTTATATCAATAGACAGAACATGGAAGTCTCCGTCTATGCTATAAAGCTTCCCTAATGGTGTGAATCATAAGACCTTTGAATATCAGCTGGGTCAGAACAACCACAATGTTCGTTTTGAGTTAGCCTACTAGGCATTTAATACTCATAGACCATCCTCCTTCCACTAGCCTTGATAACGGTGACCCTGCTGGATACATACTATAAACGTCGTTTTCTACCCCTTTCACATGAATAGGAAAATGCAAACTAGGTACTAAGCCAGCAAGCCCAGAGTTCCTCTTATATCAATACATAAGAAAGCGAATTCTATAGACGCAGGAATAAGTCAAAATACCACAGGCATACTACATAAACTTAACAATATAATAACCATACATCGTGTTTACCCAGGTAGTCAATAGTAACGTCGTAAATGTACATGCAGCCTTATATGTGCTACACCAAGCGCTCGAATAGAATACCTTATACCAGCCAAGTTTATCATTAAATCAAGAAACCAAGTTACATTTTAGAAAATGCCTTGGCGCGCGCCCCTAAAGGAGGGCTCGAGTTACAATGTCGGACTCGCGAACCGGATCCCGCGTCGTGGTATTTCGGGGGGTTCCGCCGCAGAGAAGAATGGTAACATACGTAGACGTCAACGGTTTTGTTAGAGCCACCAAGAAAATATATACCCGGTGCCGTGTTTGCCGTGGCCGGGTTAGTAATCATGTCAACCTATACGGCCTCCGCAACGACTTACGGAGAATTCCCAACCTCGAAATAAGAGGAACTGTGAAATGGGTATAATCTAACCTACCTAATGTAAGGGTGAAGAGTACACACGCAGACGACGACCTTGAGTATTAAACACTAGCAAGAGCTGCATAGACTTGGCCTAGCAACCCATCATCCAAACCAACCCAAACGGAATCTTCTACCTATATAAGCAAGACATACCTTCAAACTCCATCACATAATCTGATATAACACATAAAATCATACCAATTTATATAGATAAAGACGAAATCAAATTACGTTTATATAGGCCTAGATATATTCCTATTCCAACTAATCCCCATACCCATATCCATCCCTTACCCCCACCCCATCACTCGTAGTCCGAACCATATCCTCAGACCTTCTCCCATACCGGATAATGTTGAAAAGTGTTTCTATCCCGACTAGAGATTCTTTAAAAAAAGAAAAAAGAGGAAAATCGCGTATTCGTATTGCCGTCTTAGTGTTGAGCTGCTTCTCAAAAGCGCTTATGGAAGACGTGTGGCCCAAGAATATATTGAAAGTACGCTTGATGAAGGCTACCGCTCAAACATACTGCGATCGCCTCTCATGTCGACTCCCAATATTACTAATACTATCGCTCGGTGCTACACTCCCCGCATCATCATCATCCCAGACTACATAGCCGCTGCCGGCATGGCTCTCCGGACGCCTCACACTCCGTGATCTGTTACCCCCAGACCCTTTAACCGAATACCGAGTTCCGGCTTTCGACTGAGGTCGCGGGGGTGAGGTCCGTGTGCCGCGAATCGTGCCAGCCGATTTGTCGGTGCGAGCTGAGACATACGTCTCGTTCTCTGCCTCGCGCGGCCGCGACGACGCAGATGTGTGCTTGGAACTTACGTACGTGCGCCAGTCTGACTCCGAGTCAGGCGAGTGTCGCGAGCTCGCGTGGCTGCGGGAGTCAGGGGCGGGGGCGTGTCTGGACCGGCCTGTGTTACTGCGGTACTCTGATTCCACTGGTCGCCTCTCGCCATGTTTCGATCCGGCACCACTTCTATTCTCATGCTCGTCGATAATTAGTGGGCGTCTGGACGAGGATGCCTCGCTGCGGCCGCGCGACCGACTTCTGGTAGTGTAGTGGCTTGAGTAACGACTAGCGCGGTCGTCCATGTTTTCGATCGCCCTGCCTCGCGGACTACCAGCCTGAGAGTGACCACCATTGTAGCTACTGGGAGGGTAGTACCGTGGCTTATCCGGAGATTGGTCCGGGTATGTGGACCGTCTAGTAAAGGGCGGCATATCATGACCCTGGAACGCCATATGCTCTTGCTCTTGCTCTTGCTCTTGCTTGTTCTTTATCGAGTTATAGGTTAGCGCGCCACCGACAGCAGCGCCCACCGCCAGACCGAAGACGGCACCCAGGACGGTGGTAGTATTCAATCCTTTTGGGGCCTCCTGAGGTGGAGTCTCGATGGTTGATGATGTCGTAACGCTTTGTCGCGCCATAGTATAGGACTCGCCGCTAGAAGCGCGGCTGCCCACCGTGGTGCTAGGCCCACTAGATCCGGCGATAGACCGTGGTAAAGGAACCAGGGGGGCGCCAACATCTAGAGTCCAGTCAAGGACACGACTGGTTTCCTGGGTAGAGGAGGGTTGAGACCGGCTTACCGTCGAGCCCGCACGACTCGAGGCATACTTCTTGGAAGAATTAGCATGGACAACCTCCATGATGTTTCCGTCAAAATCGCCGATGATAGCGCGGCTCTCTTCGTCTGGATCTGAGTTCTGTATGCGTAGATAGTTGACGCTGTAGTTGCCGTCCTTTAGTTTAGGGTTCGAACGCAAGGCAGCTCCGTGGAAAGCAGCAACAGCCGAGGGTGATCTCGCCGAAAGAACTAGGCGACAGGGTTGCACAAATTGTGAGTCCGGGTTGGTATTCTGCTTCACTTCGAAGACCGGTTCGGGGGAAGACGAAGAAGTATCGCCAAACACTATTGAGGTGGGAGTGGAAGATATATAACGGAGACCGAGGGGTTGAGCCACAGCGGCGTAGAACGAAGCCGAGGGAGCTAGGTCTTTGACTTGGACAAATGGTAGGACATGCATATCTCTAGGAGATACTGGTCCGTGACAAATTATCAGATAAAGTAGAATGGGACGTTAAAACGACTAGGTAGTCGAAGCTGAGTGACTCGGAATACAACTGGCTCTGGTGATAGCAGTATGCACGAATACTGATCGAGAAGACGGAAAAGCGTTGCAAGGGAGATGCAGCTAACCAGCCAGCAGCGATGTGGAGCAGGCCTGAAGGTATGAGCAACGAATGGTAAGGTAGAAATCGTAAAATCGAAAAGCCGAAAGTAGTATATTAGGTGGGACAGGGTGGAAACGAAGAGTGTTGTCGATATTCCAATCTAAGTGTATAGGCGTCTTGATATGCAAGCCAAGTATGGCGTGTTTTAAATTCAAGAGGGGGATTTTATAAGTAAATATTATTGAGTTGATAGAACTCGACGTTTATTAGATATTTCAACTTCGGTCTAATAGAATTAATAATTAGAATTAGAACGATGATGAACGAAAAGAAGTCGAGAAACGAGCAAATTCATGAGTAGAAATATACCAACCTCAATACCCACCTGGTATCATGGCGGGAATATCCATGTGTGAGCCGCCAATAGACGAGCTTCTCCCAAAAAGACGATAGTTAGGTACTGATGCAGGAGACATCTTTGACCTGTCTTTCAGAATTCTCCGGAAGGTGATCCACCCCCAAATAATCCGATGCAACTGGATACCTGAGTTGGTCTAGTTGCGTCTATCTCACTCATTCATACACGTGTATTGTGATAGATTGAATGATGAACAACCTGGCGGGGGTTTTGTAGTGGCAAGACGAATATCCACTATAGCTGTATGTGCACGATGGCCCATGAAAAAGATTCGCGATCCATGGTTATTGATATCGTAGAAATATGATTCAGCTGAACCATAGGAAGATACGAGATGGGTGGCTCGAGTCCGAATGGCACATGGTGGTCTTCATAATGATGTTGCGATGCAGATAGCAAGCAGGCTGCTTGAAGCGACTATTGTTTTTATGATTTTTTGGCGGGAAAATGGCGCTGACTCTAAAAATGTCTACTATGGCAGCGGCGGAAGGGCTGCCACGTTAGATTTGTGCCCTATATTGAATTGCCGCATGCTTGAAACACCTTCCGACACGAACTTGACTCGAAATAGGTAGCCAAATATGAATAAGCTGATTGGACTAATAAGTCCAATAAGTTGGTCGAGGGGAATGTAGGTAGACTTGCAGTAATGTGGAATAGTTTAGTGGAACAGTTTAACTAAGTGGAATAGATGCGTGCAAAAATATAGAAAGGTAAAGAGGGTAAGTGACTATCCCCCTCCGCGGACCAAACAGAATGGCACTTGCCCTACTAAACTACATACTCCAAATTCTTAATGCAGACTCTCCACAACCCCATTCGACTTTTAGACTTTCTACCTTAGGCATGTATGGTTATATGTAGTTACAGTTACACATCGTGGAACTTGACAACACAATGTCTAGTACGCTCAAGTACAGACCAGCGTCGTGTGAGGTGGGTGTAGGTACACGTAAGGACCAGATAAATCAATTTTAACAGGCATTCCCAGTTTGACCTTGTGTATTAATTGCGTGGCTCTGAAACTAGGTTCCTATGAGGTAGGTATACATAGACCCATGATGGGAGATTATGTATGTCTAGTATTACATCCCCCCATTTCCTTGCCGAAGATTCGTAGATTCGCAATCCTGACCGAGACCGACATTAAAACGGCTAGGTGTGATCGACGCATAATAATGCCATCCCCCCAGACGCAGACTTAACCATAAGATCTTCATCTTGCACCCTAATACATACATATCCATCTTCCAACCAAGCATCACCAGATTAAGGTATCCAATGCCTACCTAGAAGTAGATCAATAGTGAAGAGGATTATGAGGGGACGCTGCCCCAACGAACTGATGCCTCCACCCTGCCTACTTTTATCGCTGACGCCGATGTCCGTTCCTAGAAGCGGATGGCTCAACAGCAGATGCTCCAATATCCAGCTCACTCTTCCGCAGCTTAATCCGCTTGAACTCATCTGATAGGCACGGCGTAAAGCCGACGTATTGTTCTGTTACAAAGATTAGGTCCGCTCTCAGCTAAGCCATGAGAACCTCGTGAAAGGCGGGCTGCACGTCTAATGACTTTGGCCCCAAGCACTTGTCTTGTCCCATGGTCGACGCAAATCCTGGTATCGGACTAGAGAGGTGAGCTAGCATAAGGGGGAATTTGTTAAAAAAGGGAAACAAAGAAAGAGGGCTGTGGGCCAAGTTGAAGTGGCCCACATAAGACGGCGAAAACGTCTTGGATCTCATGTTGAACGCCTGATGTTTTGGTTGCAAAAACAGAGACTGAACAAAACCCGTAGACCCAAGCTCCGGGGATACCTGCGTCTGCCACCATGTTGTATGGCGGGTTTCGCAAGGCACACCCGCTTTATCATTCATACCTAATACGTTCCACTACCTACCCTCCTCTTACTTTCCCCTTTTCCTCCTCGAGGGGCTCAGCTTAGGAGACTATCTTAGAGGATGTCCCAGACGTCCTCAGCAGCGTGGCAAAACTTGCTGCATGCAACACTAGCCGAAAGACTGTATTGGCTAATTGAGATCTTCTCGTCTACATACTCGTCGGCGAAGTTGTCTGGGCCTTTGGCCATGGCACCCACGAAGACACATATGCTTTCCTTTGGTCCAAGCGTTTGGATGTAGTCTCGTACGCGCACGGTGGCCGAGTCAAAGCTTAGCGTGATCTTGCGGCAATTGGGTGGGAGATGGTCCGTGATCGGGTTCTGGATGACTCGAAGGAGTTTCTCTTGCGAATTGGTCGAGCGGATGGATAGGCGATGGAGCAGCTGAACCATCAAACCAGCAAATCGCTTGAACGTTCGGGGAATGCGGACAGTAGGTGACACCTCGATGAGGACACCCTTTGCAGTCTGTATATATATTTGCAGCTTGCCTGCTTTGTTGATGGGCGAATCCAGAAGGGTAAGGAGACACTACATCAGTGGGACACAACGTCAGCATGTTGAATGCCAACCTAAGACTAATGACTTGTTGAAGAGTAAGCGAAATATGGTGCTGTAGCGTACCTGATGTGTAATATCCGGTCGGGCGTCGCTAATATCTCGGTTCATCTTGCGCATCACTCCTATGTGCTCGTCGCTGTTGAGAAGCGAGTACTTATCCTCACGCTGCATACCAGCACGGCCAGCACCGTTACCGTGGGAGGCCTTGTATGTCTCTAGACTGGCATTGGATAAGACTACTATGAGTCTCTGGCTGTCCTTGTCATTGGAGGCTATGGGTACGTGCTGTTCGGCGACAAGCTGGGGGAGAGCCGGAGGTGGTAGAGATTGGGTGCCTGCGGAAGTAGCCATTGTCGTTAGAAAAGTTGTTTATAATTGTGAATGGGCGGAGAAAGATGGAGGGTTGTGTTTGTAGATGTATGAACTCCCAAGGGGCTTTGGCGCGGCCAAAGGGTTTCATTTAATCCAACAGATCATAGTGGTGTGGACAGGTGGACAAGTCGCAAAGTACAAGTGTGCGGCTGAGTTGAGGGTAAAGCTCGGAGCAACTAATATGCAATAGGTGAAACAACCAAGATGATTTCCGTCTCTTTCCTTTTACCTAGAAACAGTAGACGGGAGTAAAAAAAAAAAAAAAAGCAATTGTCGAACTTACGAGGTCGCTTCCCAGCGCGATATTCTACTGTAGAAGGCATGGTCGATTTGCAAAGTAATAACACGAGGTGATAAAGTTTTTAGCAGAGTTCGTTAATGCAAGAGCAATATAGCGTATAGTGACTGTAGTAAGTAGTAGTGACAAATAGTTATGTTTCGTGAGAATGTTGTATAAAACTGAGAGTGAAAGGTCGTCAACGGGGACGGAGAATTGAAGTGAAGAAATTGTTAAAAAGAATTCGGGTTAAGCTACGGATGTGGGGAGGATTTTTGTTTGTACATATCGAGTCCGGTTTGGACCCCACCGGTTTGGACCCCGCCGGTATAAAGGATTGGTACATAATAAAGGATTGTTATCGGTGCAGTGACTTCCTTTTTGCCCCACTACAGGTGCTACCCACTCGCAGTTGCCCTTGCTGAAAGCTTAAAGGTACAGCACGTTGTTCTAAAAAGACAGTTATTCGGGTACCTTATCGCAAGCACGTGTAGTATGTATTCTGTTTTATCCGGCATTCTTATGCGAGTCTCAGTGTTATTAATCTCACTTTTCTACATCTTAGGTGAAGATAACTACTTCGGTACCTAGGCACGCTAAAAGGAAAAGCAAACTCCCCTTACTGCTACCTATGCACTAATATGTAAAAGTGTTTGCGCCGATAGGATTGGATTATGTAAATCACCGTTCTTTTAAACATCGCCAGCTTGTTTCTAACTTACATATGCTTACGCTTACCCCTCCCATGCCTATGCTTCCTACCGTTCCGGCCTAGAATCGGGATATATAGGTGGCATCATGTGTTGGATCCAGTTACCAAACAGAATTTCATCGGAGTACGGGTTCCATTAGAAACAACGCTACGATGCAAGCCATCGGCTCTATCCCCGAGCCCGACCTCCGACTCCGTAATTTTCTACACTCCAACATATATGTCGTCTTTAAAATCTACTAAAAGCAAGCAGAAAGGCAACGAATAAGCAGTATAATACTTCCTCCCGGTATCGCAAAAAATAAGCGAGCTCGCTTCTTCCGAAACGATCTGTCAGATGCGAAGGATTATGGAAGTGCTTATGGTTTAACCCGTAGGCATAACCGATGGAATGGTGAGCCTTACTCAGCCTGCGCCCCGGTTCCTACGAATAGGGCTTCAAGCCTTTCGGACAAACTCAACCGGCTACCTGCAGTTAGAACTTTCTGCAGGTGATACGAGTCCCGTCGCGGGGAAGCTTTCTAACTTCTTGAGGTGAAAGAAAGGTCTGAGCTCTAGCAATCAGATCATACCAATAGTGCCACATAGGTAGTCTAGGCGTTACGACTGTATGTCTTTCCTAATATAAAAGAACTAACGTTATCAGGTATGATAACATCGAGATAGGCATATGTTCTCCTCACGCGAGCTGGCTAGCTCCAAGCGTTTTAAATTATATTAAAATAGCTTCCCTGCGCTTCGTAATAGACTAGGAAGGGATGAGTACCTATGCCCTGATAGTATAGTTGACTAAGCGGTAAGTATGGCCATGTAGATATTAGACGCTAAGGGTATAGAGGGTCTTATATAGGAAAGATATTCGAAAGTTATCCCGAACACACATGTAAGCTGACATACCCCGGGTTTATAGAACTGACTGCTTCGGCCGAGAATAATCCTTGCATGATACAGCAATCAATATATGTAACTAACAATCAAAAAATACGTATATTTCATATACAAGCCGTTATTCGCCGATCGAGATGCATCCAAAGGTCAACCGGCAGTTTGCCGCTGTATGAATAGTATATATTTTATGCAAGCCAGGCTTAGAACTTTTCCGAATAAGACCAGCATGTCCGAGCGGGATATCCAGACTCGATAAGCAAGTGCAGGTCATTTATCACATCCCAATTGGTTCTTCGGGTTTCCGAGTTCGGTCCTGGACGTTTATGGTAAGTATCAGCTCGTAACGTAGATGGCTATCGTAGCTAGGTATACCTATTCACGGTTTCGAGTTAAGAGAAAGGGGTCTATTAAGAGATAAGAGTAACCTAGGTTAAAGAGATAATAAGCAACATTGGTAGTATATACGATGAGCTAATTGCCTCTCTACACATCGCGTATGGTCATTTTTGCCCGGTATTATGACATGATCAAGTGGAAACATTCAATGTTAAACATTCAAGGTAGAACTCCTAATCCTCGGATATGGTTCATATTCCGTAGCAATAGAAGGTTTGGTTGTAATATTTACGGTTTATATCAAACGACAATGTCACTAGTAAGTACGTGATAAGTCTACTCAAGGTGCTGCTTGACGTATACGGCATTCGCCATCAAAGTATCATCATGCTAAAAGACTATTGAACCATGACCAACTAAACTCCTTATAGAGGCTTAGCATCACAATCATCTATGTACTAATGTAACACATTTCATAGGCATTTAATACCTTCTTAATCACCCCTGAGCCTTAAGCGCTCGAGAAGCCAGCAAATACATATGGGAGTCCACCGCCATCTAAAGTTACCAATAATAAAATTTCATATGTCTTATGACGACTTAAAAGGTTGAAGATATAATATGAACATTAAGGGTGCAATTGCCAAGCATTACGGTCTATAAAACGTCTCTTAAACGTCTATGCAGCTTGGGTCTACTAATATGAGAAACAATAGATCATTTAAACTGGATAGGATAGTTATAGAGAACACCTAGGTAGGTATTCATAATAACGAAAGGGTGCGATAGGATTAGTGTACGTCTGTAACTAGTATGATGTTAGACGTATTCACCTTGAAAAAAGACACCTTGAAAAAATTAAGTTGAACTTGGAGACGGTTTCGAGAATAATGATTAGTTACCGTATATCTAACAGCATCATGATGAGTCAACAGCATTCAGAGGATATTGACAAATACGAATAAGGGGTTCTCCGTATGCTCAACCCCATACGGTGGAGCGCTTTAAAAATGGTGGCGATTATTATTAGAATACCTGAAGGTAACTATTTGAGAAAAAAGGGGAAAAATAAAGGGCACCTATGGGGTTCGAACCCATGATCTCTCCCAAAGTTTGCAACTTGAAGTTACCCAAAGGGAGCGAGTTTCCACTTCTCCAAGGCACCGCTACGTTATTTGGTTGTGATATTACAGATAGCAAGTAGGATATTTAACTTGCTTGCTGTTGCGCTGGTACCAGATACGAGGTACCAGGCAACCAGGAAGCTATCTGCAACTGCAACGAGATGTTAAGGCCCATGCGCATTCTAGGGCACTTGGCGTCATAACTTCATGAATCACCCCGTAGACGGTAATACCCTTAATCTTCAAGCATACCCCCTTATTTATATCCATCTCAACACTCGGGAGAGCCATATGGATGAAGAAAGACTATAACATCGGCTGTCCTATGGTTTAGTGTTACACAATCTTTCAACCCTATACATGATAAGTTAAAGGTTTGCGTAATATTGATTGTACAGCTTCATCAAACAGAGCAGCTTCAGAATTAGTTTACCTTGGAGCAAAAATGGCGACTTATTTGGCCTCAATACAAGTGCCTATTCTTATGTTATGTAGTTGTTACTAAATATAAGACTAAATTTATAAATATATAGACCAACCCTTCTGTCTATATCATTCCTAGACGTACTTCTTGTAGCTTCTAGGTTTACTACAACGCGTCTCTAAAAACTGATATCTAGACCATAACAAGGCGGTGAAGGATTTGCTACAGCCCCAATGAACGAAAACTTATACTTTACATCCCGTATCAACTTCTACAAGCTTACTCCATTCCCCGGAACAACAAATATTCTAAGGAAAGGACATAAGTCTAGAATATATCAAGTAACCCAGAAACTTTCTAGAAAATACTCATGCCGCCTTTAAAAAGACCAAAATCAACAAGCTAATTATCCAATAAAAGCGGCCCGTGATGTACCCATTAGCAGGAGAAAAATCCCCCAAGCAAAAGTATTCTAAACGCAGCAACAAGAATTGTTCCAATTAGCTACCTAGGTACCTAATGTATTAGCCAGAAGCCAATTTCTTCAACTGCGTGACTGCAACACCACGTTAGCCAAGAGACAAGAACAGAGAAAAAAAAAATAAGCAACACCAGGTACTCACGATCGCCATTAAACGTATCCGAATCGCCCCCATACTTATACGCATCATTAAACTGCCAAATCGTATAATACGGCCACCCCCCCGGCAACGCACCCGCGCTACCAGCATACCGCGCAAGCACAAGCGGATTCGTATTGACGAACGCGCCCGACCCGCCCGTACAACTCGACCACCACGACGGATTCGTATACAGCAGGGGATACCGCCCCGTCCTGCCGCGATACGTATCGCTAAAGTCCCCGATCCACGAGACCATGGCGCTGGTCGACAAGCCCGCGCAATCGCCTTCTAGGTCCAGCATCCCCGGCAGCGTGATCCCGTCGCCCGACCACCCGCCGCCGTGCGCGAGGAAGTACGTTGCCTGGGCGGCGCCGGAGGACGAGCCGGGGCGCGCGAAGTGGTAGCTGCCGCGGATGAGGCCGGCTTTGGTGGCGCCGGTGTAGTGGGTGCTGAAACTGGGGTCTTGGTAGGTGGTGCCTTCTGTAGCCTATTTTCATCTGGTAAGTTCCGAGGGGGGTATGCTTTGGTTCGTAGATATATGTGATTAGGTAAAACTCACTTTGATGATAACGAAACGAGCTCCAGAGCTATATGCTGCCCCAAAGTCTACGCTCGACTGGTAGTGAGAAATGTCAAAGCCCGGGACAGCAGCGAGGGCAAGGCTGCTGAAGCCTAGACAGGTAGCAACGAAAGTCTTCATGTTCATGATGATTAATCTAGTGTCTGTACTCTAATGCTTCACATTCTGGGAATATGTAAACGCCTGACTTGTCTCTACGGCAGGCTTTATAGTTCTTGAGACAATCCGGAGGATAGCTATAATATACTAGACTCATAGTTATGATGAAGAGTATGGCATGGTTAGATAGGGGTTTAGACTATCTTGATCGAGATGCAGGGTTGGCAGTAGGTAGTATAATTTAGACATCGCTTGGATACTATTGGCTATTCAGAGTTGGTATTCTTTCAGCTCGACTTGGAAATTGTCGATCTTCCTTAGTCTGGGAAAATGCTCGTGAACATTGTATCGTGGTCTGAAATTTGTATATGCACGATTATGATTCTAGCAAGTTTAGAAGAGTTCCCTTCTAGCCAAATAGCCATGTGAGACCATGTCTTGATGTCGTGACTTCAGCTGCTTACTATATCGCCGTCCTGTCTAAGTTGAAAACTTAGCTAGTGTTGTTTTAACTAACAGAAATTCGGATGTTTTCGTGCTTTCCAAGGTTCTGAAGTGGTATGGTATAACATCCGGACGCACATGTACTACTTGGTTGCTCTTAAGGAGGCAGGTGGAGCAATGGTTTACCCGACTCGACTAGAAGAGCTGAGATCCTTTCGAGCGAGTATGTTACAAACCTCATCTACGCTCCTTCCAAAATTGGTAAAAGTGGTGTTCGTACGACTGGATGAATGACGAAACTGGGTGGTTAGTAGCATCACTTAATTATATCACTAACCCCATCTTGTAAGGAGAATCTGGTCGGCGAGTAGTTATCGTATTGTGAAGTCAAAACCGCGGAATGCTTCCGTACTGACAACATGCTAGGTTGAATGAAGCTAGCATGTTTCAGTCACCTTCTTAATTTGATATCTGCTGTAGAAAAGCACTTTTACGTGAGGGTTAAGTGTAATAGGGGGGGATAAAGCTGGGTGATCAGGGACTTTACATATGTATTGACGCTTCGAAGCTTCCATTCATTGTAGGCTGTTATTTTAAACTACAGGTGGATCCTGCCCTACCGCCGATCCCCTATCGATAACACCCGGTGGAACCTTTTCCCTTAGTGTACAGTCCCGCCTGCAGTTATCTTATCCAAGTACGTACCGCCAAAAAGATTTTGGCGCATTGGTGGGATTGTGGAACGAAATAGCAGCAGCAGCAGCTCGACGACGACGACGACGACACGACACGACTTTGCGCCCGACACAAAAAATACCACACCAATTGGATAAGGCAGCGACAACGGAAGACATCGCTAGCGGGGTTGGAGCGGAAAACACCAAAAAAAAAATGGCGTCTGAAGTCGCAGCCGCAGCCGTCAATGTCGTGCGGCGGGCCGGCAAGGAAATGCACGGCATCGTGGTGTCCGCCGGGCTCATGGACAAGACGGTGAAAGTCAAGCTGGGGGGTCTGCGATGGGAGCCGCGGGTGCAGAAGGTTAGTCTTGCTGACCTTGAACCCCCCCCATATATTATATACTACTCTACCCTCCCTACACCAGCCAACTAACTAACTCTCTTCTTTTCTTTCTCACTGTAATATAGTTCTTCAAAGAACCCCGATTCAAACTAGTCCACGACCCAGCCAACTCCGTCCGCCAAGGCGACGTAATCGCCATCGAGCCCAGCTGGCGCGTCTCCCAGCACGTCCGCCACGTAGTCAAGCACATCATCGCGCCCTACGGCGCCCCCATCGAAGAACGGCCCCCAGTCCCCACCCTCGAAGAGCGCGCCGCCGAACGGGCCGCCAAGCGCGCTGCGAAAGACGAGCGTCGGGCTTTGAGGCGCGAGGAGCAGGCGAGGATTGCGGAGGAGGAGAGGGAGGCGGCGCTGGAGGAGAAGAGGATAAGACTGGAGGAGAGGAAGAAAAGATTGGAGGAGAAGGAGAGGGAGAGACTAAAAGGGGCAGAGACGAGCTTGAGTGATGTCGACTGAAATGAATGAATGTCTTATCGGTCGGAAGAGGGAAGAGGGTTTATGATCTAGGGCGACAAAGCCCAGGCTAGCTGACCAGCTACGACGACCGAACTGCGACTGTGACTGTGACTGCGGAAGATAACTACAGTTCCACACGGTAAACCTGTATATACCGGAATCGCCTATACATGTAACATACCTACATATATGTACAACCACCGTTCAGTACGGCTCTAGTTTACTATCATGTGAAAAGGTGTGAAAAGAAGATGTCAGTCACATCATCGACATAATTCATATTGAACTGAACAGACGGTCTGGTCCCAGACCTAGGTATCGTATGCCAACCCGTCGCTGCCCTCCCCAGAACGCCGATGTTACGTACGCACACAGCCGGTTATTTCGGTTATTTATATCTACCTCTCAAACAGTCCCCCTGATCGCAATGAGTATTGATTTCACCCGCCACGCTCTCCAAATCTCCTTGCCCAGTCCTCGTACTCCCTGAGACCCTCTCTACTAACGCTCGGGCGGATATTGCGAAGACTAGCTTTGAAGTCGGCCAGCTCTATGGGCCGAATCTGGTCCATCGTCATGTGCAGGAGAGCCTCGCCGAGCGCGCGCAGGGGGCCCATTGCTGCGTCCTTTGCCAGCGCTGTGATATCCGAGCCAGAGAAGCCTATATAGATCGATTAGCGCCCTCTTATAAACACAATGTAACTGTTAATTAATATTACCATCTGTTAGGTCTACCAATTCCGCAATATCAGCATCCGTAAGACTATGCTTCTGCTGGCCTAGTAATGTTTTCAACTGGGTAGTCCTGGTTTCTGCCTCGGGCAATGGTATATACTGGCGCCTTACAAACCTCCTCCTTGCTGCTTCGTCGATCGCCCATGGCAGGTTGGTAGCCGCTAGCACGAGGACTCGATTCGGATCGCCTCGCTCCTTATTTGTCCCGCTATTGCTCTCGCGTCCCGCTGCGGCCCGCTGTAGATCGCTCCACTGGATGAGGAATTCGGTCTTGATCCTTCTTGTCGCCTCGTGCTCTCCAGACCCCGACCGTTGTGAGAGAAGCGAGTCTATCTCGTCCACAAATATGATACTTGGTGCCATCATCTTAGCCAATCCAAATAACGCACGTACGAGCTTCTCAGACTCGCCAAGGTATTTACTCGTTAGACTACTCGCCGAGATAGAGAAGAAAGTAGACTTCGACTCTGTCGCGACGGCACGGGCTAGCATCGTCTTCCCCGTCCCTGGAGGTCCAAAAAGTAGCATGCCCCTAGCTGGTTCGCGAAGGCCCATGAATAGGTCCGGTCGTAAAAACGGGTACACCACCGCCTCCCTTAATGCATTTTTTGCAATTTCTAATCCGGCGACATCGCTCCAATGGACCTCATCCCCTTGCACAACGATTTCATTGAATATTGCCTTTGCGGCTGCCTCATCTACACCTGCCGGTAAATTCTTCATTATTTCCTTTCTCGTCTTTTCCCAATCGTCCTTAGTCTTATCCCCTTCTTCGGCAGCTGAAGTTGTCGTGGACCGGTCTTCAGTATCGGACGTTATGAGGGATTCCTTCTGCTTACCCTTAAGCTTCCGGCGGGAAGGGCTCGCCCGAAATTGATCGTCGCTAGACGATGCTTCCTCTCTTTTTCCATCATAATTAGATATTTGCCGGCCGACTCGCTTTCTAGCGCTATTCGGCTCAAACACCTTATCATGGGTCAAGGGTTTTCTCCTTATTGAGCCACTCTTAGAACTTGTTCTAGGGGTGGTTTCCAGAGACTCCAAGACTCGAGAGGTAGTATTATTTCGTTCATCATAACTTAAGCTGCCCGTTTTCCTTGGTGTTGGTCTCCGCTCTGTTCGAATTCCTACAGAACTAGGCTCGTCTCGGTCTTGAATGGTTAGAGCTCCCAAAGCACTCGATGCAGCACCAAGGGCGAGAGAGGATGGAGCAGGAGACGAGTAATCGGCCGAAATTTGCATCGAAGCTTCAGGACTTGGGCGGGATGGTATAGATGTAGAACTGGACGCTTCGGGAGAGACTACCAACCTTCTCGTGTGGCTATCCCAATGTCTTGGAGTTGGTGTAGAACTCTTTCGCCCTTGCTCGTAAGACCGCCGTGCCTCTAAAAGTCTCAATGGACTGGTTGCATCAGCAGATGTTCCCCTCTCGAGGCTACTCCAAGCCAATGTGGCAGCCTTGCTGGCCCCAGGACCTTTGGTTATCTTGGCTGGTGTATGCCGGGATGACCTTGAAGATTTGTCTTGTTTGCTTGTCCGCAGCGTCGTTCGCATCGTGTGCTTTTCCGGACTAGGCGATCTTGACGATCTCTTTCTCTGGGCGGATATACCATAAGGGGGGAGTGAAGGTGGCGTAGCTGCCGAAGATGATAGCTCTTGGTCTAGTATCGCATTACGGAGTCCAGCAACTGCTTGCTCCGATGACTTTCTGGAAGGGAACGACGGTCGTTTGGGGAGTGGTGGCTTGGACAGCTCTGTATACGTTATGGCGGGTATTGTTCCGTCACCAATCCATCCTCTTTCCGGCGTGTTGGTGTTCGACCGTGTGCCCAAGCTTCCTTCGGTGCCGATACTCGATTGTGTAAATTGGAATGTTGGGTCCTCCTCTCGGGATATTCGAAGGGCTTCTAGTAGATCGATTCTCTCTTTACACTGCACCTCCAACTCGCGCAAACTTTCTAGCAAAGCACGTTCTGTCTCGGATTTGGGGGAGTAGATGCCCTGTTTCTTATTCGTTGTGCTCTGCCGTATTTGGTCGAGGGCGTTCCTCCAACATGACATCGCCTCTTTTTCATCCCCCTAGATGTAGAGCAACATAGGTAGTTAGCACGATTAGACATTCGTCGACTGGCGGTGTTAAACAAAGGGGGTCCTGGTCAGCACGTGTACATACCTGGCTCTCATAGTAGACAGCTGTCGAGCACTTTAGATAGGCTTCATCGTATGTTTTTTGGAGACTAGAAACGCTGCTACTGGGCCACATCCTTGTCTTACGCTTGCTTATTTGTTGCTTCGTCTAGAACGAGGGTATGTGGTTCCTTAAACGATGTCGCAGACACATAGGTTGCGGAGAGGGAGGTTTTATGATTGCATAGGATAAGACATCACAAGAGTAACCTTCTAAAGCCATGTAACGGACGCGTAGGAGGTTTGATATTTTTGATATTACAAGCGTAAGTATCTTAGAGCCGGATCCAGAAACGACGTTGAAGATCTTAAAGTCCAGATTCACGGTCCGGGCCTTACATACATATTTTAGAATGACCCAGTGACGTCGCGTCGTGATTCTTAGTGGGGTTTGATGACCCAACCCGGTGTGGCTCAGGCGCTTTATATAGTGGGGCGTCACTAATAGGTACAAGTTACATACACCTATACACTACCTAGATGTACGTACTATCAAACCAGACCCCTTTTCATCTTGGTTCACTAACCTCATCAACTTACAGATCAGATTGAAAAAAGATAAAACTAATCAATCCTCCTCCTCTTCATCCTCATCCCGGGGAAGCTGTAAACCCATCATACCAAGAATGTTACCTGCAGGACCTGCCATTCCGGCTTGGCTCTTGAAGCTTTCTAGCAGATTCTTGGCGAGGTTATAGTCGACATCAACCTCATCCTCACTGCTCTCTTCTTCGTTGTCAACTTTTTGTTCCAGACCAGCTTTCCCTTTCCCCTTAGAACCGTCTCCATCTTTTGCTTCTATTGCTTTCGTTTTTCCGGCCTGAGGATCAAGTTGTAATGCACCATGCTCTTTCAATTCGACTTCCATCTGAGCAGCCAATTGCCTTATGGCATTATCCTCGTCTTCTTCAATAGTAGTACCGTGTGTAGCAACGGATGCTGAGGTCCCAGACACTTTCTCCGAATTCGTAGGCTCCACAGTGGGCAATCCCATCATCTCCCTCATCATCTTCGAAAACTGCTCTTCGTCAAAACTGACTTCTTTATCCTCATCGTCGCTATCTTCCTCCTCATCCGAGATATCATCATCTTCATCCATATCTTCCAATTCAGCACCTTCTACGCCGGCACTTTCGTCGTTCAGGAAAGCCTCAAAACGGGATACGATCTTTTTCAAATCTGCCTGCGCCGAAGGATCGCCAAATTCACCCTTCGGCCGGCTTCGAGGGCCACGGTTTCCTTGCAACTCGTCTTCGAAGTCTTCAAAGTTGATGTCTAGCCAAGATTCGTCGTCCTCTCTGTGCACATCATCCCAAGTTTCGATATCTTCGTTAGTCGGGAGTGCCTGAGCCCCGTCTTCTTCAACATCTTCGAGTAGCATAGCAAATTCACGCGCAAGACGATTATCTTTTGTGTCTGCGTTAGTAGCAAGCATCTCGAAGCCGCTTGTTACCTTCATGCCCATTTCTAAACTCGCTAAACTCTTTTGCTTATCATCTGCGTTAGAAATATGCTTCTCGGCAGCTTCAAATGCAGCGCTCCATATCGGAGGCGGCGAGAAACGCTGGGACTTGAGCTGTGCGAAAAGTATCTTTGTGAATTTTATACTGACGGTCACAAGGTCCTCGGGTGGGAAATGTATCTTCGCAGAAGGTGATGTGAGAGGTTTCATTGCAACTGGGTCTCGAAGGTAAAACGCCTCGATAGCAGGGGCAATAGTGGAAGGCTTTTCGTGCAATATATAAGCGAGCTTTCTAGGTATCGTAACCAGCGAACGGTGTATTGAATCTGTGATTTGACCAGGGTACTTCTCCAACCTGTAGAAAGCTTCGGCTTCGACGAATGCAGAATGCACTAGGGAGTTGGGATTCGACTTGATATATCGAACAGCTTCGGTTAAGGATAACGGTCGCTTCACTCCCGAACTTGCAGCTAGGGGAAGTAGATGAAGGTTTCCACCGTGGATCCATGATCGATTGCTATCTATCTCCGGGCTTAACCATTTTGGTAAGACGTTAGCTGCCTCGACAAGCAGAAATTCGCCATCATCGTCGAAGATTCTGACCCAAAGATTGGGAAAAGATTTGGTCAATTCTCGAAGTAGGTAGACTATGAGCCATTCATCCTCAACCGAGTCTCCGTAGTCTGTGGTCCCATGCAGGTAGACCAGATCCTGATCTCTTTCGATACGTAGTTGAAAGGAATCTCGTTGCCATATGTATTCCTTAGCAATGCTATCGCAGAGCTGTGTAGCTGCTTTTCGGATATTTTCAAGCTCCGAGAGAAGGTTGCGCGATTCAAGTTTACTGTCGATAACGAATAATAAATATTCCACACAATTTTCTGGTAGTCCCCTGGGGAACTCGTTGAACCCTCCCTCGGAGAATCCAATATTACCTTCAGAATCCATCGACCGAGACTTAGTAGGTACCAAGTGCGAGAAGATAGAGTAGACTATCTCAATATGGTAACTCTTAGAAATGATAGAAAATTTGTGGTTAAATGCCCCAGAAGCATATAGTGTTCAGATGGCCAATAGGGATAGAAGTGACAAAGAGTCAAGTCGATAGGTGAGCTTTGTAATGAGAGTTATACTGGTCGATAATGCTAGGCTGATGTTAGTGACGTTAGGATATAATCATAGAAAATATGTGGGTAGAACTTGTTTAGATTCACATACGTTATTTAAAAAAAAATTTGTTGAGCATTATGAAGCATCCTTCTTAATTAGTATAATAATAACTTTAGTGAATAATCGCTCTAACCCTTTTCTCTCTCTTTAGTTTGAAGCCATCTTGATACATGCTGATACAAGCACCTACCTAAGGTTAGGTAACATCTGAGGTAGTTCAGTACCTCATTAGTTAGCAAGGTTTTCGTTAAACCCCTGCTATTTGAAGAAACTAAAGGCAGGTGGGGCAGGTTCCTTACGAGGTACATAGTACGGATTACGTACATATATATAGTGGGCACGTTACCAGGGTTCGCGCCTGACAACCGCGTCTCAATTGTCGCGTCAGGTTCTTTACGAAATTCGATTAATTGCATTTACATACTAGTCCATTCCGTTTGAGTCTCTCCCCGTTTGACCATATACCCCTTTCCCCCGTTGACCGTTACCCACAATGACCTACCCTTTCTGACAATAGCAATTGTCTTACCCCGGAGGATTCGGCCTTCTTCTATGTAAAATCTAAGACGAGCCCCTCAATTCAGTTAGCATAGCCAACCTATAAAGCAAACGAAACAGTCATGGCCCCCGCATCTACGAAGCGCTCTCGCGGCGCTGCATTCGACGGAGATGAAGAAGATGGAGTTACTATTGCCCAAGCTAGTTCTAGTCTGAGAAGTGAATCCGTGAGTAGACAATCCCATTCCATGATGTAAGTACACCCCGACGAATTGCGATCTAACATCTTGTATACAGCACCGAAAGAAGATGCGAACCTCAAATGCCGGTCCAAGTAGAAAATCAGCTTGGACGCCTCATCAAGAAAGTACTTCTAGCTCTGATGAGGACGAAGCGATGCAGGAGCCCGAAGAGCATCCGAGCCCACCAGCTGCAACGCAGTACGAGATGATGCGCGATGCCGGCTTTAGACATCTTGAGAATACCGATTTAGATGATCAGCGAGCAACACAACGTCTAAAGAGCCGTCCTCATATACTTGGCGAAAACCAGGTAGCCCTCAATGCTATCATCGAAAGCATCACCTGCTTCAACTTCATGTGCCACACAAGACTGCATGTCGAACTCGGACCTCTGCTCAACTTCATAGTGGGAGAGAACGGAAGCGGCAAGAGCGCTATCCTAACAGCAATAACGCTATGCTTAGGCGGTAAAGCTAGCGCGACGAATCGTGGCGGAAGTCTACGGAGTTTCGTTAAGGAGGGTCAAGAGAATGCCGTTCTAATCGTCAAGATCAAGAACCAAGGTCCCGATGCGTATAAGCCGGAGCATTACGGGGAGTCTATAATTGTGGAACGACATTTCAGCAAATCTGGTGCGAGCGGGTTCAAGCTGAAATCATCTACCAATCGGATTATATCGACCAAGAAAGGCGATGTAGATGATGTCGTTGAGTACTACTGCCTTCAAGTCGATAACCCTCTTAATGTACTCTCTCAAGATAATGCACGCCAATTCCTTAATGCTGCTTCCCCTGCCGCCAAGTACAAATACTTCGTCCAGGGTACCCAGCTAGAGCAACTCGACCAGGATTACCAACTTCTTCAAGAAACGCTTGAAGCAAATGAGACAAGACTTATAGCGTTCCAGGATAATATCACGTTTCTCAAAGAAAAGAGCGAAAAGGCTGTAAAACTGAGAGACGCACTCACAAAGAGTGCGGAGATGCGAAGGCAATCCAAGGTTTACTCGAACCAGTTGGCGTGGGCCCAAGTCATGGAACAGGAGGCTATTCTACAGCAGAAAGAGGACGCCATACTGGCATCTCAAGAAGATATTCGCCGAATGGAAGTGACGATTGAAGAGAAGACAGGAATCCTCGAAAATATCGACGATAAAGTCCGAGAAGCTAGTGAAGCCTTGGACTTACTTCGCCAGGAAGAAGGTCAATTCAAGGAGAAAGAAGAAGAAGCCAAGGCAAACTATGAACGTGCAAGGCAATCGATCGAGACAACCCATACGCAAGAGAGGGACATCCATCAGCAACTCAACAATGCTTCCCAGAAGGTCAAGGAATACGAGAGGAAGATCCATGAAGAAGAGCGGCGTCTAGAGGAAGTAAACGGTGGCGTCCTTGCCGAGAAGCAAAAAGAACTAGACGACGCAAAACGTGCCGTGGAAGATATCAGAGAATCGCAGAAGACCCATGCCGAACGCAACTCTAGTCTCTTCAACGAACGTGACGAGGCCCAGAGGAAAGCACAAGAGTCTGAAGACTTGGTCGGACAGAAGCGGCAGGAAGTTTCAGCTGCCGAATCTCGGATACGCATTCTATCCCAAAACCGCAGCGACCCGTTTGCAGGTTTCGAACCGCAAGTGCCCCAGCTTCTACGGCTCATCGAGAGTGACAACGGGTTTTCGCAGAAGCCTATTGGCCCTATGGGCACCTATGTTCAGTTAACTAAGCCCAAGTGGTCGTCGATTCTTGAGAAGATATTCGGAGCAAGTCTTAACGGGTTCGTCGTTACAAGCAAAGCCGACCACGCCCGGTTATTCTCACATATGGAGAGACTGAAACTCCGAAATTGTCCCATCTTCATAGGTTCAAGGACTGTGATTAGTAACTTAAGGGAGCCTGATAGGAACTTTGATACGATATTAAGGGTATTGAAAATCGACGACCCGCGCGTAAGAGATCAACTGGTCATCAACCACCACATTGAGCAGACTATCTTGATCGAACAACGAGAAGAAGCACAGCGCGTCATGTTTGACGGACAACTACCGGAGAATGTCGCAGCGTGTTTATCCTTTCACGACAAGAAAAGGGGCCACGGCCTACGACTTTCGAGACGCGGTCAGAGCATAGCTACCACCCCGGTTGCGCCTAGCAATGATCAAAAGCCTCGTATGAAGACCGAGGATGTAGAGTCACAGATCAATTACTTCAAAGAATCCCTTGAGCAGCTTAGGGCGGAGTATCGGGAGTTGGAGATTTCCAGAAGGTCCTCCCAGCAAGCGGTCCAGCGTTGCGTCCAGGCTATTTCTCAGCACAAGAGGCAAGAAAACGGGTTCGAGAAAGACTTGCGCAACGCCCAAGCTCGAGTTACTCACATCGAAGAAGAGCTCGACAAGTTTGAAGGCGTCGACAACAAACTACAAGGATACAGGAATGACCTCCAAGAAGCTATGAGTCAGAAGGACCACTACGGCAATCAGTATGGTGAGCTAGCCATGCAGAAGCGGGAGATGAATAAGGAGGTAGAGGGTATGAAAGAAGAATTCAACAAGGTTAAATTAGCCTATCGGGACTACAAAGCCAGAATCACCAAGGCTGAAGATAAAGTTAAGAGGTTCGAGGAGACTCGGCGCGTAGCCCTGGTCGAAAAGAATCAAGCTTACGAAAATCTTGACGTGGCGAAGGAGGGCAAAGCCGACGCAGAAAGGTCCAAGAAAAGACAAGAGGAATTGGTTGCCGATTATATACGACAGGCGAGTGATGTCGCCGCCGAGCGTGCTTACATACCTGAAGGGGAAACTGTCCGAAGCATCGAACGCAAATTTGAGTCCATCAAGGAGCAGCTAAGGAAGATCCGCAGTCAGCTCGGCGCATCAGATGAGGAAATTCAGAATCGTGCCTCGCAAGCAATCCAGGAATACCGAGAGGCCAAGAGAAACCACAAGAACCTCACTTCGCTTGTGGACGAGCTGAAGAAGGCGCTGATGGATCGACTACGCAAGTGGAGGACATTCCAGCGTCTTATCTCTGCACATGCCCGATGCAACTTCAACTACCTTCTTAGCGAGCGTGGCTTCAGAGGCGAGCTCTTTCTCGACCACAAGGCCAAGAGGCTTCGAGTTCAAGTCGAGCCGGATGAGACGAGGAAGAGTAGCGCAGGTCGAAATACGAAAACTCTATCTGGTGGAGAGAAATCGTTCTCATCCATATGTCTTCTTCTTGCCATCTGGGACGCAATGGGATCTCCCTTACGATGTCTCGACGAGTTTGACGTTTTCATGGACAACGTCAACCGTGCTATTAGCACAAACATGCTGGTAAGTTCCTACGTCTCTGTGAGTGACATCATCTTGCTAATTAATGCCGCAGATTACCACCGCTCGTCGCTCCGTCGGCAAGCAATTCATTCTCATCACCCCTAATGCTATCGAGGGCCGTGCAAAGATTGACAAGGATGTCAAAATTATCAGGCAAGTCCTCATTCTTCAATTATCACCATGGCATGTACTAGATACTAGAACTAACAGTATACCAGGCTCACGGATCCACGACAACGGCTTCTCGCTGACCATTAATATAACTCGGTCTATCATTACGGCTATAGGAGTTTCGTGTAGGGTTAGCACAGCATCCATCCGGCGGCTAAGGGCATTCGGTGGTCGTGTCTCAGGGAATCATGGTGTTAGAGCGTTTTTGAGGTAACTTCAGGCCCTCGTGCCGGCATGGTATTAGGAGGGAAGGAAAAAAGTAAAGGTCCGGACGTAAACTAGTGTTGGCTTCATTGCCTTTTCGAGTATATTGTACAAATAGAGCCGAGCTGTTCAATATAGATTACGCATATATCTGCGACTTGACTACCGCTGTAGTCTTGATCTCATTTTGTAGACGCCACCTGCCTGTAACCGTTACCAATAGTAATTATGTAGAATACATACCGGGTTTCTCTATCGAGTACGCCTTCAGACTTCTGCCCTCCCACAGGCTAGTAAGCCCGCCCGGAAATACTCAGACTTCCTCAACTCAACTTAGTTATCCCAACTTATCTTATATTCTAACACCCTTACTCCTCAACACATTCACACCCGCAGACGCCGTAAACCCAACCCACTGGGCGACGCTGCCTAGGGCACCGCCCACGGTGCTCGTCTCGTCGAGGCGCCGCTGTAAAAAGGCCCGCGTCTCGCCGTACCCCGGGGACCGGTCGTTGGTCATGAATAGCTCGGACGAGGCGTAGATGACGGAGAGAGTGCCGCGCTTCGTGTACCAGGATGGGTCGACTGATGTGTCGCCGGAGAGGAAGTAGATCTCGTCGGCGAGGAGGGCGAGTTCGTGGAGGGAGGAGGGGATGTGGGAGGGTTGGGCCATTAGGGCTAGGGCCTGGAGGAAGGGGAGTTAGTATAGATGTCATAGGTTTGAGCAGAGAAGACTAGACTAGACTAGACTAGACTGACCTCCTGCCACCGATGATTAACCTCCGAATTCGATACCAATCTCTCCCACGTCAATCTCTCCACCTTCTCGGGCACCTTCAACAACTCCCCTTGCTCCCCCTCGCTACCGAAAATGGCCTTGGCCCACGGCGCCAGCGCCTCCCGTTTTGTTACTAGGTGGTACCGGATCAGGCTATACGGTCCCTCGGGCACGACGTTCGTGCTGATGTCCGGGTACCCGGCGTCGCGGGCGCCGAGGGCTAGGGCGTGCTGGGTGAAGCCGTGCTCGGGGACGTGCTTGTAGGCGGAGGAGAGGATGGCGCGCTCGGCGGTGCTGAAGGTGCTGGGGGGTGGTGGGTGGTCGTAGGAGTGGTAGTGGCGGGGGAGGATGGGGGTAGTAGTGCGGGTGCGGGTGCGGGTGGTTTGGCGTAGGAGGGTTGTTGCCAGGCGTGTTGGGGCCCGTGATGGGGCCATGGTTTAATCTCTAATCTCTAAGGTATGCTAGCCGAGTTTATATGTTTCAATTGGTTGGCTAATTTGACCCAATGGACTAGAAGTCAGATCGTGAAGCTCGGATGTAAGTGACGATCTTTTTTACTATGTAGAGACGAGATTTGTTAAATCGCTCCGGCTCCAGCTGTCACGGACCGTTCGGGCTGGCCCGCAAAGCTTTGACCCGGACATATCCCGACTTCTCGGGGGACAGAAACTTGGTGGTGGATCCCCTGGCAACAACATGGATAAATAGTGTAAATCTAAGTCCCCACATGGCTCTTCTTTATGTACCATGGTACCGACTACAGTCTACATATGAGATGCTACTATGTAGGTAATACATACAAATTCCAGTTCCAACAAGGTACCTACTTGATTACCTCGGTACTTAGACCTCAAAAGGGCAAAGGGATAAAGGAAAAGGGAATACGGATATTCTAGACCTAATACGGAATTTTTGAAGATTTTTTTGGTTTTGTTTTGCTTTTTCCCTTTTCTGCGCATGGGGGTAAGGCCGCGACGTTGGGTGACCTATCCCTTTTGCAGTTATCATCCCGCTTTAAATCGTCAGCTCCGAGAAACGTCTATGTGTGATGAGATTCGAGAAGACTTTGCTATGGGAAGAGCAACCTTAGGTGGGTTTTAGATAAAGTGGTTAGTTAGGGGTGGGTTGAGGACTTTTCTGATATTGTCAGATTTATAGGGGGGGTACTGGTAGGTATTAATGGCATTTCTATTAATAATAAGGGTGGTTCTAGAAGCTATACATAAGCTATGTCTTTATCATGATCTTAAAAGTGTAGGTTTGGTATTAATGGTATGGATGTTAGTCCCAAGGTTTAAAGCCTGTTATAGAGGTACTCTTTTCGATAATCGACAATAGATCTAGGTATTGTTCCGGATCGCTTCCCTGTTCTGCCTTGATTCGTATTCCATTTCCACGGCTTCCTATCCATACGTAGACCTCCAGCATAGTAATAATCCTTTGCATATGTACCTAGTTCATGTTAGCAGCCCTACGAGGACTTGGTAAACGACGGTCGATCTTCCTATTGGATTCCCTATTTGCGGAATAGCGGTGATGTGACGAAATATCCTCTGAAGTGGGTAGCGACAACCAGGGGCGATGTGACTTGGCGTTGTCATCCTTATTAGACGATATAGAAGTTCACGAACGCACATCATTCTATCCGTAATAACAGGTACATACATAGGTACATAGTAAACCAGTGCTGTAACAAATGACACGATGAGTTCGCCGGTTTCCCGGGAAGTGGTAGCAGTGAAAAACGCCACAGCGCCTATTCCCCTGACGTCCCCGCTGGTAAGATAGGCATCGGGGTCTGGTATTGGGTAACTTCGCGTGCTATGAGAACCTATCACCTAGTGTTGCCTCACGGCGGAGCAGGGGTTTAGCAGGCATGAACCGTAGCCCCTCAGGTCTCCTCTCGCGGTTACGGGTATGTCTATGTACAAGAGGGGTCAAGGCTCTGAGTGCGACGGCTTTGGTCGGCGCCCATACAAAAAATCTATTCAACTATATGTCTTACATGCTTGTCCTGACGGCGGATATGGAAGTGACGGCAATATCTTCACGGCTTCCAACTATAAGCAAGCCATAAGCATCGTAAAGTAAAGCGCCTATCGGCAGTAGCATTGTGATCGAGGACAAACATTATATGTCGGTTCCCAAGCTTGTTGTACATGCATAGTATGGGGGAGGAGATGCGACTAATGACCTGCTTTTAATAGGCAGATAGGCAGGCTTTGGAAGTGATGCTACGAAGCCATGTTCCCTTCTAGCTAGTAAGGGAATAATCTAGTAACACCACGTCTGCTGTGTCACCACCGCGTTGCAACTGAGGACGAATATTGGCTCCTGGTCCTAGAGAAGCGGCACTTTGCGAAGGGGCAGGACGCCAATCACTATTGGAGCGGCCTCTGGGTGTGTGAATAGGGGAAACTCCTTATAGCCTAGCCACCTACACGCGAATTCGGCAACGATGATGCTACCGCTTTTGTCCTGATCTGATATAGCGATTAGTGACAATGATGATGGACCTGTGTCATTGCACCGGATGTCTTGAGTGTTAATACTGCCAGCGGAGATGCAGGGGTATTTCCGCCAGGATGTAACCCGCTTGAATCAGTCTTATTTTTCTATGGCGGTGAACTAGAGCAGGCTCGCCGGTGAACTATACATACATACACGTTGCTCTTCCATCGAACCGCGTAGCAATTCGTAGAACCTGCTAGGATTTCTGCTGCGATCTAGGTTCGTGTCTATCCGTAGTAGGAATGTTGATGCAATATGGGGCTAGGATTCCCAACTCATTCAAGTGGCTAACAGTTAGTTTCCCACAATGGGTGAACATTATGGATTTTTCCGGTATTATTCTCGACGAAAACGGATGGTTTACTATCCGCTAACCTCCTTCTGAAGAACAAGGAGATCGATCACCGCGGTACAATACTAAGGACGGGATAGGAGTTATAGTTACGATTTACACTAACGCGCTATCGTATATGTAACCTAATCTGCTAAGGAGAATATTTACTATTTACACGCTTACGAATCGATTGTTCGGAGAAGCTGGTGGAATATATATAAACGGTCAAGGCGACGAGTTGGTCAGATATAGGCGTAACATCTAAGCCCGGCACGACGCGCACCAACGAATACACACTTGAAAACTCTTTTGTATATACAGCTAGTTATAGAAATGTAAGAACTTTCTGCATAAGCAAATCTCTAAAGGCATCGTGCGGAGGCTCGGAGCCGAAAAGTAGAAAGACTTGGTTCGCGCTGCAGCCGACCATTTAAGGACCAACGCTGCATTTTGATGTGATAGATCAGAAAAAGAAGAAGGAAAAGAAAAATCTGGGTAAGCCCCCTAGCGTCTTAAGGTGACTAAACCGACCAGTTTTTGCATCTCGAATCGCAACGAACTGCCATGCCTGGCGGGCAAAAATTCAAGTATCAGGGTCTTCGAGGGGGCCAATCCACTGAACGCACTTATTATATATTAATAGACAAGCCCGATAGAAGCAGGCTACGGTCCTGTCCTGTACGATGGGGTGCTGTGTGCGTGTGCGTGTGTGTGCGTGTGTGTGTACTTTGCATGGTTTGCATGGTTTGCATACCTAGGATGTGGATGCGACTGTGGCAATGATCCCAGATGTTGGTACATACATAAATAGTATGGGCATACCTCTATGGGAGGTAGGAATGTAGACTTGAGACATGGCTGGCTGCAGCGGGCCGACCTATCCAATGCGGTGGCCGCGGCACCAACCGCCGTTAAGGCTTGCGTGCATCGACCAATTCATGTTTTGCACTACTCATACATACATACGCAAGAAGGGTCGAGGAACTGTAGGGTTGTCTCGTGGGAATATCTCGTATGGATCGGAGGAGAGGTAGACTTGGTCGTAGATGGAACAAGAAAAAAAAGAGATCCATCAAGGTACCAAGCTTGGGCCACTATGGCCGGGGTTTCCGGAGACGATGCCATCTCTAGAAAATCCTACATGAGATACCTATCATATATACATTAGATATAACTACCTATATAATAAAAGGCCAAGGTTATGGTAGATAACTGAACACCGCCCCTTTTTATATAAGTAACAGGTATAGCACTGAAGACTTTACTTACGCTACTTTCATATAACTAGATACTTTATTCCACACATATCTTACCTCTAGGACATCACATGCTTAGGTATTTATATCTTGTCGAATACCTATATGTAATCGGATAGGTACCTGTGGGATGACGGCAAGTGCCAAGGTCGTGCGTTCTTCAGGGATTTAAGAGCGGGAACTATTTAATCCTTGCTCCATCACTAATAGAAACATCCAGATACATATACATGTGCATGTACGTACACGATGTGCCTACCCGTTGCCTTGACTGTAATATGTTGTGCTTCCTGGCGTGAGGTATTCCTTACGAAAGGAACAGAATTAGGTTACCCTATGCACGTCCTAAACATGGCGAATAAATAGATAAGGACACCTATAACATCGTAAAGTGCCTGGAGATTGTCAAGCTCAGACACGAAATATATACATGGCATTGGGTAAGATTTAGATCGAAGTACTCGACAACGGATTGGCCAAACCCTTCTAGCGATACCCCATACGTCCATAGTATGACATATGTAGCGTCGATAGTTTCCCGTTCTACAGTATGTAGTAGTTACGGTAGGGCTAGCCTGTCAGAGTCCCGTACATACCTAGGTATTGTAAAGTACCTAGCACTCCCGGATCCTAAGCCAAGCCTATCTACCTCTTATAGAAAGAGGCAATCGAAACTTACCTCACGATCGGCACTATTTGGATACTCAATCCTTGGATACTTTACCTTGTAAACCAAACAGGCCCCAGGCTTTACTCCTCCAATTCAGGATTAGTAGCTACGATGGTCGACAGATTTGGGTCCGTGTTTGGGGGACCGTTCTTACCAAGCAAATAGGATATTGGATTGGCACGTGCTTCTTACATCAAGCAGAGTTACCTTGCATTTCTGTACATAAGTAAGTGTGTCGACTTGCAAGACCCTGGCATATCTCGCCCGACCATAGCCAAGCCAACATAATACCGGTATGTAAAAGACCAAACAAATTGTACTGACTGGATCTTCAGCTCTACGTATGTTATAACTGATATATATCAATTTGTTTGAATAGCCAGTTTTGCCCATAGCCGGTGTGGAATTCTCATGACAGCCTGACAAAGCGGCCACGTAAGCACCAGCTAAAATACACAGTTTGCACATTTGTATATAATATAATGAATAGGTATATTAGGTGAGTAGTCCATGGGTGGGTAGGCTTCGGGCATAGCTAAAAAGTGGAAGTATATATGAAAACAAAGAACATGCCATCGCTAACATTCAAGGAGGTAGATATACCAAAGATATTGCAAAGCTTCCACCATGTTATATATGCAAGTACCTAGCAAATGGATCTAGATCTTTTGTTATAACATAAGAATAACTTGAATCTTTAAAATATAGTTAACAGGTAAGATTGCATAAGACTAATAGTTGAAGTATTAATATTTGGGACAGTAACCAAAGTTGATACATATGTAAACGTTTAATGGTAAGCACTTAACTAACGAAATAAACATTAAA